GCTGAATCAACTGCCAGAAATAAGTATATTACAATCAACTCAGGACAATATATAACACTTGCTTACCCTGTGTAATACTTTCCTGATGATATTCTGTTGAGCCCTGTACTCAATGTGACTGTTCACAAGGGTGTACTACCACTGACCGTACTGAAAATGAGGGAGAGGCATGACAAAGCTGGACTCAGCAAATAAGGCCGTTCTGTATTACATATTTGGGTATTGTCCTACACTGCTGAACAATACCCTCATGCAGCACAATGCAGTACTATATGTGGTCTGACATACGGAAATGGTCTAAAGTCTTGGTTGAACTTTCATAATTGAAGAAGAGACAGGCATCACTTCTTAAGAACTATCAAAATGAAACCTGAAAATCGCAACAAACATGCTCTTTTGCTTTGTGTGTATACACACAGTTGCTAATATTTTATATATTCAAAATAATCATAATAGACCACCACAAATCTAAACTGACAAGCTGTAAGAGTCTGCCATCAAGCACAAAAAGCCAATAGCAGCTGGACTGACACAGCCCTGAAGCTTCAGTCTGCCTCACAAAAAGCCAGTAATCCAACACTGAAAGGTCTATGGAAGCTACAGTAAACACTGTAGAGCTTGCTCTGAAAAGACATCAAGGACTGAAATCCCTTATAAAATCATGCAGATAATCACAAAGAAGCAGTGTAACTGAGTAAACAGATTTATTGCCTTTACATCTACAAAATAGCCTAAGAGAACACAGGCACAAATGGCAGGTGCAACTCCAGAGATGCATTAACATTCACAAGTCCTTGGATCATCATGCTGCGAAACTGGAGAACGTGTGTCACAAAAAAGGCTGTTTTAGACAGAAGTCACTTTTTTCTTTTTCTGTACTTGGGCCTTTGGAGCTTTTTTGCTTATTTTTTTCTGCCCTTGTCTGGGTTTCAGGTTTCTGTCACCTGTGTTCAGCTTGGGTGTTTTCTTTGATCCTGTTTTGGACAGAGCCTGAAAAATCAAAAATCTATTTTAATCCATTTCAGAAATACATAAAAACCTCAGCAGAATACTTAAATTCTAAAACACTGATACATAGCGTTCCAGTATTTAGTTATATAGTGCTACAAAGTATAAAGCTTAGTTTACATTACTCCAGAAAGATAACATGGATTTAAAAGGGTTAAAAATACAGCGGTTTTGTGCCTCCTGTCTTCAGTTCCCGACAAAGGATAAAATAACTACCCAGCATCACAGCATCAGAATTCTTTGTTGACCAGCAAGCCAACCAATGGGATACCAATGAGATTTAATTAGTCTCACATACTACATAGTTAAGAGGTTTGACTGGAAACCAAACTAAAATTACTGAAAATCTAAAACGGTCACGTGAAACCATTAGTCTACAAATACTCTATCACCACGTTTGCCAATGTCACTCTTTAAAAGGAATAGCATGACGAAAAATAACATTTATACGATTTTCCACTTACACCAAATGCAGTCGTTCAGCAAAGACATTTTTGATGTCCAAATTTTGCTTCTTTATTTAAAACTGGAGTTGCTAGGCTAACAGTGCTAACATACACACACACAAATAATCACCTGTTTCGGCAAATACATGCCAAAATCTTCATATTTTCTTCAAATGATGGACAAACTATGTAAACTCATTTTAGAAAAAGACTTTTTTACACCTTTACAAATATGAACTACATTATTAACCACATAATGTCCTGATGTCCAGTACAAAACAGAAGCGTGCTGTAAAACGTCACTGTGCAGGCACATAGGGTTAGCACAGTAATATCTAAGGCTTGCTTACTGTGAGAATTAAAACTTGCATACTGTATAATGATAAACCTATGAAAATGAGGAGCCACTCTACCTCAGTCTGTATTATTTACCACTTGCCCCAAGTACACCACCAGGTTCCTGTTATACAAGGACTTGCAGGTGGGTCTAGGGAGTCACTGGCTGGTACAGCATCTAATGTGCATGTTGAGGTTCAAACATATACAGTTGAGGCTAATTTGTGCACTGTATCAATCTTCTAAGTACACTGTAAGCATTTCTGTTGTGAATTCCCTTAGCCCCACCTGTGGTCGTCTTGCGTGGAATACCAAATTGTGCTAAAAGTGATGCCACTTATCTAAAATGGCTGCTCCTTCTTTTAGCTTTAAAAAAAATACTGTTGTTTTTAATAGTTTACAGCAAGTCATACTGTGTACCAAAACTCACTGACTTGTTAGCGCTAACAGAATTAAAATCTGAATGCCGTTTGCTTGACCTAATTTAGGTCATTCATCTACGAAAACAGTTTGGATAACTATTGGCTTCCAGTGTTTGTCAGCAACGTTAGCCTAGCAGGTTCCAGTTCTAAACCAAAGAGGCAAAATTGGGACACCAAACATGCCTTGGCTGACCAACTGAACTTGGGGTAGGTGGAAAACTAGGTAAACCTGATTTGTGTGTAAAACCACTCCTTTAATTAAAACAGCAGCTTACAATGCTACAAAACTGTCTTGTCTTGTCAGTCGAGTGCAAACTGTGCTTAAAACGTATTGAGCACTGACCTCCAGCTTTGTCTTTTTGTTTGGAGACTCAATAGGGATGAGCTGCGGGATTTCCTCATCTTCCTCTTCATGCTCAACTTTTTTCCCTTCTTCATCTTTGTTATCACTCGTCTTTTTCTTCAAACTAGTTTTATCCATGTTCTTTGTCTTCAAACTAGTTTTCTTTGTGTTCTTTTTCTTGATTTTCTGTGCACCCTGCAAAAGGAATATAAAGTAGGTACTTAGTGATCTGTGATTTAAATCCAGTGTTAATCTTGTTTTTCACATTTTTACAAGTCTAACAACAACTTTGGAGTGAACAATCATCTGAAATTGCATAAACTACCGAGTTTCCTCAACAATAACAGTTCTGTTGTAATAGACCTCACCGTGAGAAAATAAAACCTGTTAAAAGACATGGTTTCACATTGTGTTTTTGTTATGGCATTTGTCAGGCAACACATGTGAGCACCTGGGCTATCTGTGGTAATCGGGTGAAATTACTCAGGTACAAATCTGACAGTAAAATCTCTTATAAATTACATCATAGAAGCTCCTCTGGCAAAACTCATTCAGCTCCAATAATGCTAATGATATGTTCAGAAAAGATTACCTGTGGGCTAACACAAACAGTTTACCAGCCCAACCAACACAAGGATGGAGGATGAGCTATTATTCAGTGTCCAAATATATAGTTTTACCTTAGCTAATCTGGCTTTCCTCAGCTCCTCTTCCAGCAGATTGAGATGACTGAGGTCAGATGTATAGATGGGAAGAGCCACAGAGGTGTGACTTTTCAGGTGGATGACTTTGATGCTTTTTCCTTTCTGCAGAAAAAAAGAAAGAAAAAAAAACCAAAAAACTAACAAATGCAAATCAAGGCGTGAAGTTTTACTCGGGTCAGGTCAGAAAAAGCACTCTTAGACAGAAGGATAAAGCCTATTTTATGCATGGATTTCCTGATCTGACAGTAAGGCATGTCAGTTGATCAAGAGATATTTTAATTGATGGGTACCAGCAATTAAGCCCAAACCAAACAAACCAAGTCACTGGTAACATCTGCAACTCCAGTGTGTCAGCTGCAGTTAAGCTAGTTGCTTTTTGCCAAGATGTGGTTCAACTAGCCAGTCAAATTTGAATGAGCAGCTATGATGCACTTGGTAGTACAAGTAACAGCACATTCACACACAACCAAGACAAAAGAGTAGGCTACTTTTTACATGAGTGCAGTTAGAAGCACAAAACCAGTGTATTCAAAACATCAGAAAAAGTTTCAGACAGTCCAGAGTGTCTCTCACTAGGCACATACTAAAAATTCTGTTATTATACTGAAGATACTGGCAGCCTAGCAAATTACCTTAAACTGGATTGGTCTTGTTAACTTCAATGTAGTTGAAGTGCTCACTGGGGCAATCGTATCATCAGTTATTCAGTATTATAATGGAATCGGGATTGGTTAAGAAAAAAAATAATCTGGAGATATCCCTAATTACATATAAATCCTTAATTTTTTGTGAAAAACTGCACCAACTCACCATGCGTAACTTTGATGAAATGGTGTTAACTGCTGTGACTGTGTTTTCGACAATCTTGTCTGCTGTCATTCCCGTGTGTGCCACACGCACCATGCTAGTGAAAGAAAACATAGTCAATGAGGACAACAGGTAATAGCAAAGCACTAAAAGAAGTTCTATGTCATTGTTTCAAAGATTGTAGGGACAAGCTCCAATGGAGAAGGAGGCTTGTCTGGATACACTCTGAGGTACTCTGGCACCTTGTTAACCCTTATCCAACACTGAAGCAGATGAAAAGAGTTTGCAGAAGTGCCCTTTGTTGAGAGCAGACTGGAAAATGGTGGGATTTACCAGCAGGAGCCTTTCTTTGTGACACTGAGTGTGGTGCCTTGAACGAGGCGCTCTATATCTTTGACTAGGTGGTTGCTCTCCAGATCCACGGACAGTGGGGCCCTGAGACATAGATAGCAAGAGAAACACAGGACAAACACAACATGGATAAAATGGAATGAATCAGGTAATATTAGGCTGGCTTTACATGGTGAAATGTTTGCACAACTGCAGTTGCTCAAAACATAACTGATTTCACTTGCACTGTATAAGGAAAAGAAAAAAGCTAATCAAAATCCTGATATCATATCACAAGATCACAAGTTATACAGAATTATGTTTCATGCAACTGAAGGTGTTTAACAAAATTAACAATTAAAACAAAAAACAAAAACTTTAATCTTACTTCTTCCGCTCATAAAAATGCTTCCCAATGTGTGAGGGTAAACGGCGGTAAATACGTGCATCTGCTAGAAAGAGGTCGAAATTTCCCAGAAGTCTTCTCTTGGCTTCAAAAGGCTTATATTCGGTCTTCAGAACTTTAAAGGGAATCACCTAATAAAAAAAGCAAATCAAGCAACATTAAAATATTGGGTCCTTACATTCTATTAATAAGCAAATGCTTAGTGTACACAACAGATCACTGTTACACAGATCGTAGTGACAAGATTCAACAAGGGCAGATGCTTGCCTGGACACATTCTGAATCACTCTTGTATGCTTCTCACCCAGGTTCTGCCACTGAGACAGAAGCACAGGGTTTGCTGAAGTGCTAATATAGCACACAGTTAATTATGAACAAAATATACATACACCACATACCTCAGGGATGTTTCTGAGACCCCTCTGTGTGAGTAATTTCTTGTAGAACCTCTCAGTCTGGTCTGCAGTCATGTTAGGTTCATCTCGGGTGAAGAGGCACACCTCGGCGGACTCAGTACGGAGCCCATGAGGCAAAGAACTAGGGGAAATTAACAGAACATTTGTTAAAAGGTATTTTGAGTAAGTATTAAAACTAAAGGAGACAGAGAACATGCCTCGATAATAATAAAGCAAATAATTCAGGGTTCCCTGTATATACTCTGGGAACAAGGTCTTTTGCAAAGTTGAACAGGCAAAATCAACGTTTCACTGCTTGATGATCATATGCAGCCTTTCATGGACTTCATGTACTCCCACAATGGGGATATTCCAGCAGGATAATGCATCATGCTATTGGGCAAAAGTTGTCCAGAATTGGTTCGAAGAGCATTCTGGAGAGATGAGATGAATGGCGTAGACTGCACATTTGTCCGACATGAGCCCGATCAAGCATTTATTGAAATGTGGTGGAGAGGTCCATTTGCACCAGAGATCCTACCCCTACAAATTCCACGGAGCTAGGGGTGGCTATCTAGATGGCACATCCCTGCAGACGTCTTCCATCAACTTGTGGAACTGATGCCATGTTGAGTTGCTGCACTTCGCCAGGCTAGGAGGGTCCTACACAATACTAGTTCCTGTCGCATGACCTTTGGGACATCAGTGTTTTTTCAGAATTTTAGCCCCTTAAAATCGGTATCAAGCACAATTCTTTTTTTTTATCAGTTCGTTCCTAACCTTGAGAAGCAATTTCAGCTGGGTATTCCAATAATCTACGCAGTTTTCTGTTGCAATTTTTTTGTTAATTAAAGAAACCACAATATATATATTTTTTCAAACTATTCAAGCCTTATTCAAATACCCCTTTACTGAACAACCAAAAAAATATTTCAAGTTTAAATGTCAAATAACCACACCAATTCCTACTAGGAACTTTCGTAACAAAGCTCAGAATGTGACTACCACATTCTGGGCGGCCACAATTGGGGAATTAATGCAGCCATTACAACAGGAAACATGGTAAAACTGTTACTGCACAATTTAGTTACCAAGTTGTAGACACAATAGGGCCTTCAGTGTCAAAGACAGGAAAATAAAACTTACATGCGGATAGTTTGGTCTTGTTTGGGGACCTTCCATAACGTGAGGAGAAGACAAATTTGTTGAGTCTCATTCAGAAGAAGATTCTGGGATGAGGTGCTCTTCAAATAAGCTTGCAACGCCTGTACAGCCTTCTTCACCTGCAATCCATGTAGTACTGTCATAAGACAAACACCTTACCCGTAATTTGGAAAAAAAAAGAAATAAATTCCAGCAAACTAGACTATTTCTATTTTCTGTTAAGTTCAATTGTTATGTTCAGCTAAATTGTTACAAATACAGATATTACAATCTATTGTGATCAGTGAAGATCTGTGGATCAGCCAATAAGGGATAAAAAGTAATTAGCTACAATATGTTTGAGAGCAGTTTAATGGTACGATGGTGGACAGGCCTGGAGTTTACAGGGCTTTCATACTGAAACACGTGGAACTTCCTTTACTAACCCAAGTCACACTGGGATCTTTAACACATCACTATGATACGACAATAATCAATACTTATTTTTGTTAATAATAATTAGATTCATTACATTCTGGTAAAATGCCGATTTCACACTAGATGCGACGCGGCGCGCATGGTAAGCCGGGACCACTCCAGCTACTTCACACCGGACTCGGCACAAACGTGCCGCGAAGCAAAAGCGGTTTCTGTTTGCGTTGCATTTTCACGTAATACAAATGTCTGTATTGTCCGTTTATAACTCATATAAACGTTATGTAAATTAAATGAATAGATCAACAATAAATATCTGACCTGCTGTCATGACTGTTGATAGCTTTCTCACCGCAATATGAAAAGAAGAAGCATACTAGCTAGAGCACTTAACGTTCGCTTACTATATTAATCTGTAACGGACTCTACTGTTAAATGGGCTTACTGGTTCATGCACAAACAACGCCATTTAGCTGCTTCGCTACCTCATGGCAAAGTAGAAGTCAATTAACCGCATTTCTCACATGCAGTTTCAAGCGCGAACAAATAACATACGTATACATACGGCTAATCATTAATTAAACTAAAATACAGTCAAACTGAAAAAAAAATATTACCTGATAAATATCAAGACTGAACTCTCCTGTTTCAGCCTCCATAGTACACGTGTGGAAGAACTGAACACGCATGCGCCAGTTACGTAATTTGCGTCAGCACGTTCTTACTGACGGAAGGATTCAGGGTCGTGTCAAAGTTTTTTTTTTTTTTTAATTGCCAGAGGAACAAGTAATTGTCAGAGACAGGGTTTTAGTATAACAATAGTTCACAATGAGAATTCAAACGTTTAAATAAAGAAAATAGGAAAGAATAATATAAAAATAATAATGATATATATATGTAAAATAAAGTACATTAATAGACTTTGAAGCAGATATCACATTTTGCGTGAGATAGTGGAACATGTTTTCAAACAAAGTTGAAGTTCATTACTTTAGCTGTTCTTTTACAATACATATACTGGACAATGGTCATTTTTAAATACACTGTAAATTGGGTTTCTCTTTGTAAATTTCATTTTATGGATAAAGTATTTACCTATTAGAATGAACAGATTAAGCAAGTAGCATATGTCCTTATTGGAGTCTTTGTAACAAAATAGAATATCAAATATATCTATTCTTAATATAATATTCATTTTTTGTCCAATATCCTTCATTGCATCATACCAAAAATTCTTAGAATGGATATAGTTGAAGAAAATGTGTTCAATACATTCATTTTTTCATCACAAACGCGTGTCAAGAACTAGAGATATACCGGCTTTGGTTGTGTGTGAAAGTGAAGGGTCTGACTGCAGAGCAGCAGATTTACAACCGCAGTTTCACGCCAGCGTGTTCAGGCCAGTGGAACGCATGCGCAGTAGGACAGCGTGATTGTGTCATACATATTACCATAGACCACTGTAGTCGTGTCGTCATTTTGTAGTCGGCGCCATGCTCTTATGCCCATATTAGGAACTCCGGGTCTAAGCTTCATTTCTCTATGGGCAGAATGAATGGGGTTTTTGAAAAATCGCCTCTATCGCTCCCTGTGTTAAATAAAACTGTTCAAAACCTGATACGTTTTGTCCTGTGAACATTCTTCTCTCGAATACCACAGGATCCTCTGAATTACGAGGTCGTTAAAGTGTTGAAATATGAATATTATTACATGTGAGCTAAAACTACTGCGCACTGAATTCACGTCATTAGACTGGCAGCCTCCTTAAGCAGGTTATCACCCGCTGATAAACTAATTTAGGCTATCAGAATATCCTTATTATTTTAATGCTGGTAACATTTTTCTGAGGACATTTTCTCAAGACATTCGCCAGCTTTTTGTTAGCCTTTTCCCGTTCCACCTTAAATGGTGAGGCAGGCACGTTCTGAAATGCTGCGCCATTTAAGGTGGAACGGGAAAACTCGAACAAGAAGCCGGCGAAAAAGAAGACTTTAGCTTCTTGGAGGGTTGAAGGGAATGAAAATGAGGAGGTTTCACTATTTCCGCTTAACAGAATAACATTAACTTATTGTTGCTGTTTCACAGAACCGTGAAAACCTTATCTTCTTCCTGTAATACGAAAGCTGTGAAAACCTGGAACCTGTGCTCTGATTTTGTCATTGGCACAGAAAGCCGTCTCATTGGCCTAGCCAAAACGCGGCTCTGCTGAGGCAGGGTCGACGCCAATCATACGCACAATAATAGTACTTTATAAACTTTGTCCAACTTTTTTTGGGACGCAGCATTAAATAATCCGAGTTAAACAGCCCCAGTGGCTATATATAGCTTTGCTATGCTGCTGGATAGCTGTTCAGTAAACATCTCCGAGTGAAAATTTTAGGTAATTGTTGATTGAAGATGCGTTTACTGAGGTAAATTGATGCTTTTATAGAGGTAAGCTTATGTTGATGTTTATTATACACCAGTTAGTTCCGGCCGTGCTGATATTTCGCCATAACATCACGGGTTTTTCACAAACACTGTATCACTCCGTTAAGATGCCGTTGCTAAGCAACAAGTTTGACAGCTGTAGGAGACGCTCAAGCCATTTCAACGTTTTTACTTCTTACTTTGCTCACAAACAGAAATTGGGTACTTTTAAGATCACATTTGACCCACAGCCGATTTGGTCAGACTCTGAAGATGAGACTACACTAATTTCCCAAACTGTCATCAACACTGAGCAGCTTTTCAGTCGGCAGCTGTGATAGAAGAAAACCTGAACAACCTGGAATTAGCCAGAAATGAACCGAATACCATTCGCCAAACGTGTAGTCTCATCTTCAGAGTCTGACCAAATCGGACTGAGCCATAAAACTGCCGCAATAAAAAACAAAAAACTTGCTCAGCGGTAATGACAGTTTCGGAATTTAGTGTAAGGAGCTGGGGAATGAACTGTCGGCTGTGCAGCGAGTGGGCGGAGCTATTGCTAACATTAAAACATATTAAATGACACGTTCACGGCCCAGTTTATTAATTTCTTACTTTATTTATTTAACTGTTGTATAAAAGCAACAGAACACTCGAGGTCGTGTGTTATCGCAAAATAACATCACGGCTGTGATTTGGTCGCAGGCGTACGCGATAACACACGATCTCGAGTGTTCTATTGCTTAAGAATGTTAAGCTGGCGTTGGTTTCTAATTTGATAACTTGCAAAATTCGTTCTACGTTTAAGACACGTTTTTGCAGCACCATTTAGGGTTGGAACGGAAAATGAGAAGCTGGGAAATAAGAAGCTGACTTGAGCTTGATATATGAGTTTATTATTTAAACGAGGCTTAAGTTAGTTACTTATTCGAGCTTCCCATCCGTTTGGCTCCTTATTCGCAGCGTCTTATTCGCCGGCTGAAGTTGGCTCCTTATTCGTGGCTTCTCTTTTAGCGAATAACGGTAAAAAAGGGAATGTTCACAAACGCTATATGCTGCACAGTTTTCACTTTTAACAGACTCAGAGAGACTAATGATGGAGACCTAATAATGAAGGAGTTAGGAATGTGTACTGTGTTTGACTTACCATTGTAAATATGAAGACTATGACTAAATAAAATATTTAATTCTGTAAATATGTGATGTTCCTTCAATTCATTTCCAATGTTTAATTTCATTGCCAGTAGTTTAAAGTATGAGACTGAAGAAAAAAATAAGGGTGAGTTTATAGATTAGATTTAAAGCTAATCTAAATCTAAATTTAATGTTATTGAATTGAATAGTTTTTTCCAATCTCAGATGTACCTGGCAATATGGCACAATGAGTAAATGTGCGTAAAAGGAAATGGATAAGAAGCTGAAATTTCAGAGGGATTTATTCGCATGGAATGAAACCAATACCAGATTCTAAACACAGAAAAATGCTGTCCCTGTAAGGAAAACCTGGTTTTAGCCCCGCCCAAGCTCATTTAATACATTATAGTAACTGGCAACATGGCTCATAGAGCAGTAATGCACACAATGAAATGAATAGGAAGCTGAAATTCCAGGTGGATACTGAAGGCCTTATTCACATGGGGCCAGAATAATTACATATCCCAGACAGAGATCCAGTCTCCTGCTGTAAGGAAAACCCGGTTTTAGCCTGGCCCAAGCTCATTTAATACATTAAAATAACCGGTAACATGGCTCATATAGCAGTAATGCACACAATGAAATGAATAGGAAGCTGAAATTCCAGGTGGATACTGAAGGCCTTATTCACATCAGGCCAGAATAAGTACACATCCCAGACAGAGATCCAATCTACCCCGGGAAGGAAAACCTGATTTTAGCCTGGCCCAAGCTGATTTAATACATTAAAATAACTGGCAACATGGCACATAGAGCAGTAATGCACACAATGAAATGAATAGGAAGCTGAAATTCCAGGTGGATACTGAAGGCCTTATTCGCATCTGGCCAGAATAATTACATATCCTACATAGAGATCCAGTGTCCCACTGTAAAGGAATGTAGTCTGGCCCAAGCTGATTTATTACTAAAACATGGTACATAGAGTAGTGGCACCCCCAGGAAAATGAATAGAAAGCTGAAATTCCTGCTGAATGGGCCTTGTTCACATTGAGCCAGAAAAATTCTGTATCCAAGATAGAGATCCACTCTCCCACTATAAGGAAAAGCTAGATTTAGCTTTGCCCAAGCTGATTTAATACATTAAAGTAACTGGCAATATGGCACATTATGCAGTAATGCACACAGGTAAATCCATAGGAAGCTGAAATTCCAGGTGGATATTGAAGGCCTCTGTGATGGACTGGCGACCTGTCCAGGGTGTATCTTGCCTTCCGACCGATGACAGCTGGGATAGGCTCCAGCACCCCCCGCGACCCAGAAGGAGAAGCGGCTTAGAAGATGTGTGTGTGTGTGTGTGTGTGTGTGTGTGTGTGTGTATTGAAGGCCTTCTTCATGTCGAGCCAGAAAAATGACATATTCTAGATAGAGATCCAGTCTCATATGTCATATGTCATAACTAAAAATAGCTGCAAACATGGTGTACTGAGCAGAACAGTGACACACTTTGGTTTTAATTTCTTACAGTATAGCTATTGCTCAAAGAATAAGTATATACACTTGACTTTACAAATAACTGAAAAGTAAAGAACTTAAAAAACTCATGGGCATTAAAGCTTCATAAGGCTTTTTAACCAAGAATTAAAAAAAATATATATACTAGGAATACAAGAAAAAAATATATTCTTATTAAAAGCAATGGTTTAGGATGTTTTTGTGAGGTGGAATTTTTGCTATATCTTTTCACGATTTCTCATATGACTGACCCTTGAAAAAAATCAGCTGTTAATCTACTGTAATTTGCATCAAGCTCATCTGTAAAAAATCTTGGTGTCACAATAGATCCCGATCTGTCCTTTGACACACATATAACGAATATTACTAGAATAGCCTTCCCGAATCTCTGCAATATTGCTAAATTAAGAAATGCATTATCTCTACAGGATGCAGAAAAGTTAGTTCATGCATTTATTACTTCAAGGCTAGATTACTGTATTGACCTGCTGTCTGGATGTTCCAGCATAAGCCTTAATGAGCTTCAGCTAGTCCAGAACGCTGCAGCCAGAGTCCTTACTAGAACCAGAAAATTTGACCATATTATCCCAGTTTTATCAACCCTACTGGTTGTCAGTTAAATTTTGCATCGATTATAAAACTCTCTTACTGACCTATAAAGCTCCTC